GGCTCAACCGGGCAAAAATCATAGAACAACATAGGGAAAAACCATGTTTTTTGCATTTTGCGTCGTCCTACAGCTTCCGATCCCGTTCTATCACTTCATTTCGGCAAGAACTAACTGGTGTGAAGGTTTTGGATGAATATTTGTTACAACTAATACAATTTACAAATTACAATTCAAGCGGGCAAGATTGGGCAGGCCTGCAGTTTCGCGCGCTTTTCGTCTTTAGTTTCTTCCTGTTTATTCCTTCAGTCTTTTACGAGTTTTTTCTCAAGTAATGTGATATATATCTAACTATTCCAAAAGCTACTACTGTTTATTTTGTTCTTTCATTGTTATTTCAACCAAAATACAGTATTTTCATCTGAAAATTCTAGGGCTTTCTATTCTATTAAAATATCTGGGGGGTTTTATCGAAAAGAATGCTTGAATGTCGGCCTGAATCGTGTTCATCGTATTAGTGCAAGGCAGACGTGGGGATTTAAAAGATGGTATTCGCTTTTCCTTCCATAAGTAAGTCTATGAAACACACACATCATATATTTGTACACTATATAAAGTCTATAACTTACATCATATAAACAGAATAGTTTAATATTAATAGAATAAAAACAATTTTACAAAAAGACAACGTCACAACAAATGTAGTTTTGAGTTTGCTAGCTACAATATAAAACTATTTACAGTTTTAATAAAAGAATATTAGACCAAACAACTTGTTTTGATGTCTGTGTCAATCTGTGTTAGGAGTCTCTCTCTATATATATGCATGTTGACAACAACTGTCATAGAGGTCCTTGTCCTGTTCAAGGTCAAAAATGTTTTACTTTTGTTCACATCAGTGAACCAAAAATACATCTTTCCCTTTGCACTATTGGATTTCCTATAACCAATCTCAGCCTGCTAAAAAATGAAATGGGCATGCCCTTACGAAAATTTCCTATAGGAATTCCTATAGGAAAACTTCCTATAAGAATTTGGGACAAAATTCCTATAGGAATTTTTCCTATAGGAATTCCTATAGGAAAAATTCCTATAGGAAAAATTCCTATAGTAATTTTGTCCCAAATTCTTATAGGAATTTTTCCTATAGGAATTTTTCCTATAGGAATTTTTCCTATAGGAATTTTTCCTATAGGAATTTTTCCTATAGGAATTTTTCCTATAGGAATTTTTCCTATAGGAATTCCTATAGGAAAAATTCCTATAGGAATTTTTTTCTACAAGAATTTCTATAAGAATTTAATAGGAAGAATTCCTATAAGAATTCTCAAGTCTAGTCCCAAATTATTATAGGAATTTCCTATAAGAAAATAATTTATTTTAATTTCCTATAAGATTTTTGGTATTCCTACAGAAATTCTAGAATCTAGATGAAATAATAGTAAATGACAGACAATGTTGTTCATCACTCTTAATTTTTTAATGCAAAAAATAGATATAAATATTAATAAATACTAATTAATATTGCAAATATAAAAATTAATATGAGAAATTGGTTATACTAAACATTACAAATCAATTATAGTTTTCACCTATTGTGCCAATTTAATCGTTCTACCTCAATGCAATGCCATATGATGCGTCCTACTTTATTATTTTACTCTGTCTAACTATTTTACTTTGTCTAATGCCAGACTATTTTACTCTGTCTAACTCCAGACAATTGTACTTGAATGTCAAGGGGAAATGCTGGCTCGAATGGGTTAACTAGCCTATATTCCTATATATGTGTCTAGTTAACCCATTGAATC